TCACAAACAAAAACACAACATCGCGGACACCCTACCCCCAAACTACCCCGGACAGTTATGCTAATCTCTTCCTCGACTTTTTGTCCCGGCGGTAGTTAGACACGGCAGGGTTTTCACGTCCACGGTATTCGGACAAGAAAAGACTGGTGTGCAATTGAAAGGGAGCGGTTAAATGCTCACTTTCTCTTTGTCCCGCTCAAACAATTCAATGTTTAAGTACAGAAGGGTTTGGAAACAAGCTCTTTTATCTCTGACCTGATGCCCCCCTCCCACCCTTTTCTCCAAGATGTTTGTAATGCAACAAGCCACTAGTTCAGAACCTCTCTTTTATTACTGTACAAGTGACTGCTCCGTGCTCTATACATAGCTACTAGTACTGTATCTACCTGAATCACACAACTCAAAATAGAGACAAAACTTCACAGAAATGACTACCGAAAATCCCCAGTTACTCATAAATTTGATTTGGCTTTGGAAAACTTTAGCAGAATAGAGAGTAATATCAAGCTATTCAAGATCAAGAAACCTTAACACTAACAGTATGAGGACTGAGATGGTTACTAATTTACAGGAACTGAACAAAGACGTTACTACAAAGACTGAGAATGGCCAGATGCTGGCAACAGACATAGCCTGCTTTCCTGCACTGCAGGATTGTGTATCTATCGCTTGGCACAACCAGAAACAAACGCCTGGAGCATAATTCTCCGTCTAAGACCAGGCTTTCATGTATCACACCATGGCTGGCAGCTATACGACCCTGGCTGCGAGTATAATACCATCTGCCAACGTTTGACAGGACAAAAAATGAACCGCAGCCAAACTATCAATCTTTTTGTGCACAAAGTGGAAAAATAATGATTGGCAAAATCTCCACCATTGATTACCTTTACCTAAGGGTATTATTTTGAATGGAACTTGTAATTCCATGGGTGTAATTCCATGGGTGTAACAAATGTAACAGCAGCACACCATTGCTATAGATGGTAATAACAATTTTTATGTATTAGTACAATTACGTGTCGTTTTTTCTACAAAAATAAACTGCAGCCATTTTCTTCTCTCCTCTCTTTCATGTTTGAAATACAGACCAGTGCATACACTATCACTGGTAGTGTTGATGATTGAACTTACATAAACTTATAGTCAGTAATAATTTTGTTTTGACTTTTAGGCTTATCTTCCAAGAAGGTGTTCCTCATTTTCTTTCTAATGACCTTTGAAACTGTTGTTACAGAAACACTCTTCAATTGTTTGCGTGTGTTTGGGGGATCAAGACAATTGTTGATGAACAAGTTTGGCCAGTAATCCAACAAAACAAACACTTTGTCTTTCACCTAGCTTGGCTCGATTTTCCATAACAAAATCTATTAGCAGTCAGATATGCATAATTGAGCTGATAATGATATCATTAAGCTGTGGAAAAATAAACACCTCTGAAAGCGCTAGTTCCCTGTGGACTAAACAAGTGATCCCCGACCATATGTATGTTCTGCTACCCTGACTACTGTGTTTCCAAACAAGGGTGACCGTTTCATTTTGAAAGAACCAACCACGAGGCTTGTCCAATATTGAGACTTCCCTTTCCAGTAGTGTTCTGTCTGGTGGCCACGAGATTTGTGTCGTTTTGCTCTGCTGCACAGGGGTCACACGTTGACAGATGTGGCACTTATGTGTTAGGTCATAAACCATGTAATAGCTGATTGAGGCCTTTCTACCAGCTAAGCCAGCTATTATACAATGCAAAACCTTATTTACTTTAAAAGCTTTGTTATGCCTCTCAATATCCAAATAAACACACCACCTAGTACTAAACACGTCCACAAAAATTGGTCTAAAGGACAAGATTGTAGCAACTGTTCCGGATCAGGTAGCCATGTTTTTAGTGTTTCCGAACATCCAGATGTGCAAACTACGAAACATTCTCACAGTTCAATAAGAAAACGCACAGCAAAGTGTGACTTTTCTACACATACTCAGTGTGTTCCACTTTTTTAGGTAGAACAAAAAAATCCCTTTCATCAAGTTCCAAACTTATGACTCTCTACAGCAATGTTTTTCCAACACGACTTCCGAAGTTATGCTTGTTGAAAATCTGGACAAACAAAAATGTTGCCACAGGTGATGCAAAGGGCTGCTTTTTGTTTTCTGAGTGGAAAATGGGTTCAGGAATCCAGAAATGTGACCCACAAAGGGCCTGCTCCATACCCCATGGCAAAACCCTCGACCCTCCAGACCAAACATTCCAAACTGCCTCCTCGAGTCCTTTTTTTCTGGAGCACGGGAGGGCGAGTGTGTAAGTGTTTTCCTGGGTAAAAACGGTACTCCAGATCGGATTACACAAAGGCAGGTACACAGGATCAACAGATCAGCTCGGAAGTCTCACCAATTACACCTGTAATGGTCGACCTGGTGGGGATCAATCTTGCTTACATCCCTCAACTCATTCAAACCCATCGGCTTCCTAATGAACGCACACCATTGATCAATTAGTAGACAACACCTCGGTTAGATCAGATAACAGCCTCTGTGACTCACCCTACAAGTATTTGTACACTAGGACTTATTTTACACAACACTACACTTGCTAACAAGTGGGCTTCTTTCCTAGTTCCCCCCAGCTTGAGTTATATCAGTGGTAACAGGGTTCAGTTGACTAATTGAATTTAGCAGTAAATTCTGTCACGAGAGAGGGAAAATATGGATGTCTGGTTTCAACCCCCCTCACTGTGAACGCTGTGTGTGGCGCGGCGAAACCCACGCTGTCTACCTGTCGTACAACCTACTAAATACAACACCTTCCTTTATGTCTGTCTTCCGCAGTTCAGAGAAAATGTCTGACTTGGGTCAGACAGTCGTTTCCGTATCCAGTCCAAACTGCCTCCAGGCCACATGGGCCCTCTTGTGAAAAACTCTGACATATACCAGCGACTACAGCTAGCACAAGACACCACTGTGTGTGTAAAACGTCTCATCCAAAACTTCCTTCTCACCAATCTAATTTCTTTTCATCACAGTCGTTGGAAAAACGTCTCACAAAGGGATTTAGAATCGGAGCTGGTAAGGCTAGACTGCAGCTAGTCAAATCATCCGGCTGGAATGTCGTTCTGCAACCAAATCCTGTTTCCGCCGCCTATTGTCTGCACAATGGCAGCGTACAATGGTATCAAATGCCGCATATGGTCGCCCCGTACCCCCGCACAATCAGCAATCCAGCCGGGTGACTGATTGCAATAAAGCAGTGATACACTTTATGGCTGCATTATGAAAATACAATGAGAAGAGTGCATAAAATCCGCACACGAAAGGTCAGACGCAGCTAAGATTGATAAGATGTAATGATATGGAAATGGGGTCGGGAACTCCCGTTGGAAGATCGCCGGGTCCAAGGCCCTGCACGATAAACTTGTTACAGCCTAAAAAGCCTCAAATTAATATCAATAATATATGATTTCTCCCCTGTGCTTCTGTGCAACCATCCGAGATGCGGGAATCGCGGTATATATGCTGTGAAATGACAAGAGTGATGTAGAATCGATACTCCTGGTAATATATGGGAGATCTGTGTCAGTTACAGTGCAGGGGTCTCAATGTGCTTCTGAGGTACACCCCATGGGTCCAAACCCCAGGGGAGCGAAATTAATAAAATAGATTATGCCAAACAACCTGCAATAGTCAGCCCATGTCTTTCCAAACATCTCAATACATGGTGCACACCGGTGGGAGGGCCAGGAAATGTGCACATAAATTATTCAACTCTCCTGCAGTGCTCTACAAGCATACTAATAAAACTTTTAATTACATTGTATGGCGAGGTATATCCATCAAAACTCCGCCGCCAAATAATATCCCCCACACCCAGTGTTTGTAGTCTTGCTTTAGTTGTGTAGATTTCAAGTGTTGCTGACTAGCCAATCAAATTACAATAATGACTCACAATCTTAATCTGATTAATCCCAGTAATCTGTAGAGTGATCAAGGAGAGCTTTTAAGAAATGATACTTAAGTGTGTCTTCTTCAGTGTTCTAAGCAAAATGGCTTGAATTTTTTTTGGGGGGGGGGGGGAATGGACATACACACTGAAGTGCAACAGTCCCCAAATCTTACACTACAGCGATTCTTACTACCAATCGATACAAACCAAATCATTCTCCAATATAACTGACAGGTAGCTTATTACTGGGGCAGACTCGCTGACCTGGGAGAGAACATTGGGTGGTAGTGGCACATTTATTACGCCAAATGTCCTTCTTATAGCCCTAAAAGACTCAAGGCTTCCGCTCAAGAAACTTAATGTTACAGGACTTTGGACCACAGAGATGATAATGTTCCTGTATCTTTACCTTGGGCGCAGGAAACAAAATAAACAGGGACAGCCTGGTTGAGTTTGTGTAGACTTATACAAACCAGATGCGGTCTGGGAGGTTAAGATGGGCTTCAGATGATGACTCAAAAGCAGGTAATTATGAACAGGCTTTTGTCTATCTAATGATGGCACCCCTCACCTAACCCCACCCACCTCTCCCCCTTTTTTGAAGACACTGCTTGATGCACATAAATCAAACACATGCATAACACTTGGCGACAAGGTGTGAGCTCTCCTTGTTAGCATAATAAACAGGAGTCCACATTGCCATACCTGGCCGCACAAACATGTCCAAACTTGTTAAAGGGGGGCCAAAAATACATCATTGGGGGAAGTTCCCCTGCAGTCCTCACCCACACACAAACTGGGTATCTGATATGTTTAGCTACTGAATTAATCCCGGTCGCTTGCCCGGGATCCAAGAGCCCTGCCTCCCCGAATAACTCACATTGTGGTCGCAAATTGATCGTGAAACGGAACACCTCAAGTATCCCTCTGAACGCTCCGACCTTAAGTCAACTCGGAGAGACAGAATTACCTTAAGAAAAAAAAAATGCCCTGACTTCTCGACCCCACCACTACAACAGATCAAAGTACAATATGGTGAGATTTATTATAAAGTTACGCCACAAACCTTGAAACCTGGCGGCGTTTTGAGACACCAGATATTTTAAGTAAGCGCTCGTGGACTGGACGACGTCTTGGAAATCCTTCTTGGAAGCTTCCAGGTACTTGTCTTCCATTCTCTTGGTGCAGCAAGTTTTCCCTTTGGAGCAGACAGCCAGATCGTGTCCTGTGTGTGTACATACGACATAAAGCAGGGCTCCACATACCAGCATGGCTACAAGTTTCTAAATAATGCAAAATAAATGCAACAAATTCGCACACAACCAGGGAATGGCGCCGGCAGACCCACATGGGTCCGATCCGGGCTAAAACGTTACAATTGTTGGTAGTTTTAGTATTTAGGAGTCAGATTGAGGGGCATACCTATGCGCGGTGCTGTCGGCACGAGGTCCTTGGGGCCCAAACTCTTGTACACCCATGCTTGCTGAACTTCTCTACACGTCGGGACTACCGCCGCGTCGTCTTGGACTTGCGAGAGAGTTCCCCCGACAAAACTCGCCGCCAACACCGCCACCAACAGTCCCACGCGCGCCATGGTCCTCCAACAATCCCTCGTGAAGCCGCTGAACCAAGCTTTCCCACTGTAGCACCGTATTTAGCAAACTATAACTCGACTACCGCAGCCATAGACACACTTCGACACTCCCGAAATGACTCTTCTGGGCCAAATTGCAATAAATATTGCAAAACACCGAGGCGCGCTCTGGTTGGCCGTTACGCCTAATTAGATCAGAAATCTCGGCCGCTCATTGGTCAGAATCACGGGGTTGCCCCATATATGGAGGTGCGGAGATGAAAAGGTTCCGCGGCGGGACTTTTTGTCGTGACGTCAGTGTTTGCACACCTTTGACGCATCTTTAGTGTAGGTGGCGATAAAAGGTGCGCCTTTATCAACTTGTGAACGTTTAGCAACAGGACGCAGTTCCTAGGACCCAGATCTCCATTACTTCATCGTGAGTAATGCTTCCCTTCCTGTATTAGCGTTAACCAAGGTCAACTTTGGCATTGAGTTTCACCTTTTGACTTGTTGTAACAATACGACAATTCAATTAAGTCTTTTCCTGTACCTTTCCCATTCTTTTTTCCGGTCTATCTTCCTAGACAATGTAGATTTACGCTCTGCGGTTTTACACAAGTCTTCGACCTGTTGTAATGTGTTTATCATTGCTTCCGCATAGCAACAACTTTCGCGGGAAATTTCTGCAGAAATCCTGTAGTAGAACATGTTAAAAAGGATACTGGCTCTTTTCACCATTACACAGAAGAACCAAGGAAGGGCTAGAAGAGGAGTCAGCACCTTTTTTCTGCTAGCGATACCCCCAGAATGATTTTTGTCGGCTTTTACAAAAAGACCCCCTATAGGTGAACTGCCCAGATGGTCACCGCACTGGTAAATTCCCCTAACAGTTGGACATTATCTTTCTCGTTGCCAGCTTAAAAAATTACCTTAATTTTAAGCGTAACGCTACAAAAATGTTTCCGTGTATGATTCCAATAATTATGATTGATATCTAAAGCTGACTTTTTACTTTTGAACATTTGAATAGTCAGGGTATACATTTTCAAAGTGGTATCAAAACAGTGCATGTTGTGTAAGATCTAGTTGTCTCTTGGACAATAATATTTCTGTTTAGTAAAGTGTGTGTTTTAGTTACGCGTAATGATTTGGGGAAGTTTTCTCTAATTGTCAACAACAGACAACAAGACACTATTGAAAGGGATGAAACTAAATCCAGTGTTTATATTCTTGATGCAAGTTTCGAAACCAATTTGCTCAAATTTCAATTAACAAATGGCACCACAACGTAATAACACAGAGTCAATTGTGGGGAAAAAGAAAACAGCACAACAATGCAAAAATCCAATTCAGGATAATGCACTGCTTTGAAGAGCTGGGTTAGTTAATTTTCCTCAGGGACTTTTGTATTCAAAGTGTCATTGTGGTAAAAACACACAGTGTACCCAGGGAAACACAGGAATCTTTGCATGGCATGGAGACTCTTTGTTGCTGTGGTCCTAGGGGACCATCCAACAGTTATCTGGGAGGAGTACAGATGAGGGGGGTCCAAAAACTATCAGGACCTGGGGTGGAAAATATTTGTGAAATGTCTTGGAAAATGTGCAGATGTTTAAGCTTGTCTTTTCAGAGACCATGTCATCTTTTGTACTTTATATAGGTTTAGGTTAGTGAGGGAGACAAAAAAATGGCCTATTGCTACCAAAGTTGCATTGAATTTTAGTATATAGACATATTGGTACCAAAATTCCCAAAGGCAATTGTCATAGAATTCTAGAGTTTTGTAGGAGCAACACTGTTTGCAATTAAATTGGAAGCCCACTGCATGTAACGTTATTTTAAAAAAATTGCAAATTGTTCTTTTTGCTGGTGACTTAAAAGTCTCTTAAACAAATTACCAACTTACCTTGCCCAGGTAAAGTTATCACCTTTACCTCTAAGGTATCTAACATTTTTGGTGAACTGAAGAATAACACAGCCATCTCTCTGTAACAGTTAACAGCTGAAAAAAAACATGGTACCGCTTTAGGGCCGGAAATATCTGCATCCAAAAGTCTCTTAAACAAATTCCCAACTTACCTTGCCCAGGTAAAGTTATTACCTTTACCTCTAAGGTATCTAACATTTTGGTGAGCTGAAGAATAACACAGCCATCTCTGTAACAGTTAACAGCTGAAAAAAACAACAACATGGTACCGCTTTAGGGCCGGAAATATCTGCATCCAAAAGTCTCTTAAACAAATTCCCAACTTACCTTGCCCAGGTAAAGTTATTACCTTTCCTGTTAAAGATACTAATATCTAGCATTTTGGTGTACTGATGGATAATATAGCCATCTCAGTTCGCTCTCTGTAACAGTTAGCAGCTGAAAAAGACATGGTACCGCTTTAGGGCCGGAAACATCTGCATCACAAATTCTGCCCGAGACCGCCATCAAGAGCCGTATGAATGCGGGGATCCCGTAATGACATGTTGAAATGGAAATCCTTTGGATATCTTCCTCCCCCAGACAGATAAGACAGATGAGAGAGTGATTGATCTAGAAATGAGCCCGGCTAACGAGATCAAGCAAAGTGCTCTGTTGCTGACATTTATTACTCATATGGTGAATAATGCAGAATCCCGGGTCTTAACAATGCCTGATGGAAAGTGGAAATGTGATTCGGGATGGCATCAAATGTAGTACACGGAGATCAAAGCTCTGATGACTGGCATTAGTATGTGCTTGTGAGGCGACGCACAGAATTAATGCAGCAGAAAAAGGGGTAAAACTATGGAAGTAAAAGTGTCTCCGGGCTTATCCGAAATCCGAACGACATTCTGAAAATGCCTTGAACTTCATGGCTTGGCAAAAAATGTGTGAGCGATTCACGTGCAAAATAGAGATGGTTTGAAAGCTGCACCTGTCAGATTTTATAACTTGGCCTAAAAGCAATGGGTCACAAAGCACTGTGCCAGCACTTTCCAACCATCTAAGTCTTCATCATAATTTGGTGCAAGGTTTTTGGCAGGTATGTTTGATGGAGATTTGATTGACACGGTACATTCCAACAACCTTTCAAGTCTTCTCAAAGAAGAGCATTGAGTACTAGTATGTCACAGACAGACTAGCTTTGACATTTGATGTCCCTATCATGTCACATTACAAGCTGCATCTTGAAGCAGAACAGCTTTTGCTGAACATAAAGAAGTGGAAAAATTGTGAAGCATTTCCCAGTGGCAGCGTTCTTTTCCAATCCGAAATGGCAATAATTTCTAGCAACTGCATCTCTGATATTCATAATTTTATCATAAATGCCTACAGGAATCATCCTCATCCTCCATTGGCAATTTTTCACGGCCTGAAATAATGCGATAGGAAACATCACTTGTCGTTTCTTGCCTTCTCTGCCATCTTTCTTGCGAGTAACTTGTAGTTGGAATGAATCTAAGTGTCAGTGATAAAGTTAATGTCACTCCCCGTCAATCTACCTTTGTGTAATCAGTACAGAAAGACATTGAGAGAGATCAGTTTCCGGTGTAGCGTGCAGTAAATCGAGTGATACAGTCATCCCTGAAATTGACTAGCCTGTTGAACATGCAAGGATACTAGCGTAACAAGGTACGGTAATCTTTTTAGATCTAAATAGTCTCTGAACAGAAAGTTCAAACCACTTTCTAGTATTACAGTTAATCAATGTTTCGGGGGAAGTGGATTTAGGGGAACGACATAGAGGAGATTGTATCATTACTGCTTCTGGCTGTTTGTGTGTGATGTCATAGTTGCTATGGCAGTTGATCGAACATGGAAAAGTCAGACCTATACATGTACATGTATATTGTAAGCTCTAAGCTTTGTGCATGTAACGCATGTACTTTTGCTATAATAAATGTACTTGTCAATTATTATCTCTTCTGTTATTTTTTTTCTTTTAAAACTAAAGAGGAGTCACCTAAGATCCAAATACTAGTACTGTACCCAAAGGGAATCTTTCAAAGAAAAATATCAAGCAATCTTTCCATTACCCAAGAGATCCTTGAAGCTTAGAAAGAAATCCGCCTATCCACACACCAGACTTTGCATTATTCCTGGAAACAAGATAGCTTACAGGTAGCTATAATCTCCCAGAAGCAAAGAGGATGTACTAAAAAAAGTTTGCAGCCTTTTCCAAGGATAGTGTATCTGAGTCAGCAACTGATGTTGCAGTTATGACATTCCTCCCAATATCTGCTTGGAGATCAAGCAAGCCCCTTTTTTTAATACACCTGAATCTTGCACTTGTTTTTAATTGCCAAATCATCTCTCTGTTAACATTTCATTGCAAAATACAACTTCGTCTATTTTTTGTGTATCAGAAACTCTAGCTTTAATATGAACCAAGACAATAAATTTTTCTGACCTACGAAAACAAAAATCATCAGAATTCTGTAGGTCTCTCTTGTTTGATTTGATCTGCCCAGAGCCCGGGATATGGATGCTTGATTGGTTTGTAGTAGTCCAACTAAAAGGATCCTTATCATGGTTTAGTTTGCCAAGGTCAGACTGGGCATAGCTTTGGTTTTAACCTGGAAGCAAGAGTTTAAAGTCATATCATTTCACCTTGACTTGAGGGGTAGAGAACTAGAAATCAGCTGTGTGTGACATGTTATTCTTTAGACTTTAGACAGAAAAATGATAGTTTCTACTTTGTATATATCTATGTACTGCATTTTGGAAGCTATTGTAGGCCAATTTAATTTGTTGTTTCTCTCATTTTTTCTGAAGAAATACGAAGCGACAGGGCAAAAAAATAAAAGTAGAACTAGAAACAGAGCTACTAGTAGGCATTCTAATAGGACTCATAGGAGCCCTGAAGTCTACATACCTGGCTGGTTTGTAATTTCAAACTTTTAATCAAACCACTGCATTGATAGATGGAAAAGCTGTAAGAACTCTGAAGAGAAGGGACTTTCTTCAACTGTTAGGGCCAAGATATGAGCATTTCTGAGTTGATTCAGAGCCTGAAATGTTTTAATTTTTTTTTGCAAATCGCAAAAAAAAGAAGCTGAGAACCAGCAAATCAAATTGGTGTGGCCTTACTTCTTTTTAGAGTAGAATTGTGTTGAAAACAGATGTTATGTTTTGTGGTACTGTTAGTGATTTTCTGTTTGAAACATGCCGAC